CTAAGACAGGTTTTTCTTGGCAAGAAGGGGTTTGGCTTTGCTTTCCTCTGACATATAGCCTGTAGCACCTGGCATTGGTTGGCCCTATCCAAGTACTAACCAGAGCTGACCCTGCTTAGCTTCTAGGATCAGATATGATCTGTTGCCTTTAGTTAATCTTTTGCTATCCCATTTTCTCGGGTATTTTTAAAATGTCCTGGTTTCTCTCTCCTTCTTCCACTTTCTCCTTTTATCTTTGTTGTTGTTGTGTGCCTTCAAGTGATTTCTGAATTATGATGAGCCTAAGGTGAGCCTATCATGGGGGTTTCCTGGTAACATTTGTTCAGAGGAGGTTTGCCTTTGCCTTCCTCTGAGGCTGAGAGGTTATGACTTGCCCAAGGTCACCCAGTGAGTTTCCATGGCTGAGCAGGGATTTGAACCTTGGTCTCCAGAATTGTAGTCCAACATTCAAACCACTCCATCACACTGACTCCCTTAACTTTAGTTGCTACAAACTGAGTTCAAAGTGCAAAAGTAGTTTGCACTCAGTGGGAAGGAAAGGAGGAGCAGGGTCTTGCCCTTCTAAGAAGGCATGAGCAAAAGCAAACTGCTGTAGGTTTGGAATAGGATGTCCTATGCAAAGGTGTTTGCACATGATGTGAAAACATTCTTTAAATGTTTGACTGGCCTTCACACCCAAGAGAACAAGGACTGGTGCTCCAGAGGGAAAACTAGAAACACTGAACTTAAGGGGTAGATTTCCATTTAATATTGGGACCTTTAAAGCCCTAAATAAACAGGAGTGGGGAATCTGGAGCCCACCAGATCTTATGGTACTCTGAGTCTCATTACCACCGCACATCATGGCTAATGATCAGAAATGATGGAAGTAGTAATCCAACAGCATTGTTAGGCCAGATTCTCTACTCTTGGCATACAATAAGGTTGCCATAGAAAGTGTGTGGTCCCCTATGAAGAGTGTTCAGTGATTTGCGCAATTAATAGATTTGTATAGCATGCAAATGAGTCTGTGCACATGTGACAAGTCTGAATATAAGAAGTGAAGGGCCAGAGAGTAGAGACTGGAGTCCTTTAGTTGTTTTTATTTGATCTTTATTTTTGTTGAGGGCAAAACAGTAGGGTTCCATGAGGTTTTAAAAGAGACAAACTTCTGGCCTCATTCCCACTATGATTTAAAGCAAATTGCAGATCAGGTTATA